TAAATTAACATTAATTAAGTTATAAAAGGATCATTCCCCCCTTGGTTTCAATAAAAAAAATAAATAAATAAATAAAAAAAATTAATGATAATTACGCACATGGGAATGAAAAATGCACATGGAGAACGCACATGGGTCCTTAAACATACATGAGTCACTATATACATGCACTTGAGTCCATTTTTACGCGCACATGAGTCCCTGTGTGTACATGTGAGTATGTGTACATGACATTCCTCGTACATGTACGTCCTTTACGCATACAGTACACATCTTATATGTGTACATGACACTTTGTGTGCGTACGTGAGTTGCTGTACGCACATGCCACTGTCTAGGCGTGCGTACATGGTGTATACGCACATGCCACTGTCCAGGCACGCGTACATGGTGTATACGCACACAATCCCTTAAATGCACATATGTACACATGCATGCGTACATACACTAATGAAAACACTCAATTTTTTTTTTTCTTTTTCGTTTTTGTAAAAAATATTAATCGTTAATGAATTAAAAAACGCAATTATTTCTAAGTAAAAAAGATGTTTGTTTTTTTTTTAATCTAATATTTTTCTTTTCTTTTCAATGTTCAGTTTCTTTTCCTTTTTTTTTTTCTTTTAATTAAATGCATTAAAATCAAATCGCAAAATTTTTTTTCTACAAAAAATAAAAAAAAAAAAATTATAGAAACGCTTAATGATTTTCTTTTTTATTTTATTTTCTTTTCCATTATTTCTTTTCCTCATTTTCTCTATTTCCATATTTATCATTGTTTCCTATTTCCACTTCTGTTCTCTCTTTCCTTTTACTCTTAATTACTCTTTATTCTATTTTCTCTCTTCTTCCCTCATTCTCTACACTTTTTATTCTCTTTTCTCTCTTCTTCCCTCATTCTCTACACTTTTTATTCTCTTTTCTCTCTTCTTCCCTCATTCTCTACACTTTTTATCCTATTTTCTCTCTTCTTCCCTCATTCTCTACACTTTTTATCCTATTTTCTCTCTTCTTCCCTCACTCTCTACACTTTTTATTCTCTTTTCTCTCTTCTTCCCTCATTCTCTACACTTTTTATTCTCTTTTCTCTTTTTCTCTCTTCTTCTAGACACTTTTTATTCTCTTTTCTTCTAGACACTCTTTATTATCTTTTCTCTCTTTATTCTATTTTCTTCTAGACACTCTCTTTATTCTTTTTCTCTATACACTCTTTATTCCCTCTTTTTCTAGACACTCTTTATTCAATTTTCTTCTAGACACTTTTTATCCTGTTTTCTCTCTAAACACTCCCTTTATTCATTCTTCCTCTCCTCTTATTCTCATTTTCGCTTCCCACTTTTGGCAAAAAAAAAAAACAAAAACAAAAAAAACAAAGAAAAAACAAAAACAAAAAAAACAAAAAAAAAAAGAGAAAAAGAAATATTAAAAGAAAAAAAAAAAAAATTATAAAAAAAAAATTATATACGTTTGACTAGAGCTCATCTGGGATCTTTTTGACCCGAAAGCAAGATTTGCTTTATTTCTCTCTCTCTCTCTCTCTCTTCCCTTTTCTTTTCTTTCTTTCTTCCTTTTCTTCTTCATTTATTTCTTTTCTTCTTCATTTCTTTTTCTTCTTTCTTTCTCTCTCTCTCTCTCTTCCCTTTTCTTTTCTTTCTTTCTTCCTTTTCTTCTTCATTTCTTTCTTTTCTTCTTTCTTTCTCTCTTCCCTTTCTTCTTTCTCTCTCTCTCTCTTCCCTTTTCTTCTTTCTTTCTTCCTTTTCTTCTTCATTTCTTTCTTTTCTTCTTTCTTTCTCTCTTCCCTTTCTTCTTTCTCTCTCTCTCTCTTCCCTTTTCTTCTTTCTTTCTTCCTTTTCTTCTTCATTTCTTTCTTTTCTTCTTTCTTTCTCTCTCTCTTCCCTTTCTTCTTTCTCTCTCTCTTCCCTTTTCTTCTTTCTTTCTTCCTTTTCTTCATTTCTTTTTCTTCTTTCTTTCTCTCTCTCTTCCCTTTCTTCTTTCTCTCTCTCTCTCTCTTCCCTTTTCTTCTTTCTTCCTTTTCTTCTTCATTTCTTTCTTTTCTTCTTTCTTTCTCTCTCTCTTCCCTTTCTTCTTTCTCTCTCTCTCTCTTCCTTTTCTTCTCTGTCTCTATCTCTCCTTCCGGAAGCAAGATCTGCTCTTTTTTTTTTCTCTCTCTCTCTTCCTTTTCTTCTCTCTCTCTATGTCCCTCCTTTATTCTCCTTATCTCTCTCTCTTTTTCCTTCTCCTCGCAATTCTCTTCTCTTTCTCTCTTTCTCTCTCTCTCTCTTTCTCCTTTTGATAATTTTATTTCTCTCTCTCTTCCTTTTTTTCTTTCTTTCTTTCTCTCTCTCTACGTCCCTCCTTTACTCTCCTTTTCTCTCTCTCTCTCTCCCCCCCTATATAAAAATAAATAAATAAATAAATAAAATAAAACAAATAATAAATAAAAAAAAAAAAAAAAAAAAACTCTCCTTTTGGCATAAACGTTCGGGAGAGTTTAAAAAAAAAAAAAAAAAAAAAAAAGTATATTCGTCATAGTCACAGCCTCGGCGTGGCAGTGTTTGAAAGGGGGGGGGGAGGGGGGGGTGTTCGGCCTCAATGTGGCAGTGTTTGAGGCAGGAGAGGGGAGGGGGGGAGGGGGGGAGGGGGGTGTTCAGAGTGCCGTTCAGCCCCAGAGAAGGGAATCGTTTGTTGGTTTTCGGTGTCGTGGTTGGCACGGGACTCGAAGCTTATGCTCCTCTCTCTCTCTTCTTTTCCTTCTTCTTATCCTCCTCCCTTCCCTTCTTTTCCTTCTTCTTACTCTATTCTTTTCCTTCTCTTATTCTCCTCCTTTCTCTCTCTTTCTCTTCTTTTATTCTCCTCCATCTTCTTCCTAGCAATTAAACTGATTAGCCGTAATAGCCGAGAGATCTTTCATCAGTCCCTCCAGATTTGCATTTCCTCCTTTCTCTCTTTCTCTCTTCTTTTCCTTCTCTTATCCTCTTCCTTTCTCTTTCTCTCTTCTTATTCTTCTCCTCTATCTCAATTCTTTCTTTCTTATCCTCCTCCTTTCTCTTCTTTTCCTTCTTTTCTCACTCTTCTTTTCCTTTCCTCCTCGGTCCCTCTCTCTGTCTGTCTCTCTTCTTTCTCTTCTTTTATTCTCCTTCTTCTTCTTCCTTCTTTTATTCTCCTTCTTTTCCTATTCCTCCTTCCTAGCAATTAAACTGATTAGCCGTAATAGCCGAGAGATCTTTCATCAGTCCCTCAAGATTTGCCATTTCCTGCGAGAGTTCTTCCGTCGAGTAGCCGTGGAGCAGGGCCTCGCTGGCTTCCTGGAACGATGGAAAAGACGAGTTGGAATCGTAATGGGAATGGACGAAAATAGTGATGATAATGATAATAATAATGATGAGGACGATAAAAAATAATACAGATGATGATGATGATAAGGGAGTGGAAATGACGAAAAACTGTAATAATGGCTTCCTGGAACGACGGAAAAGAGGAGTTGGAATCGTAATGGGAATGGCGGGAATGGGGGGGGGGGGGTTAGAATCGGTGGAAATGGGAATGGACGACAATAGTAATGATGACGATGAAGATGATAATGATGATGATGATGATGATAAGGGAATGGAAATGACGAAAAACTGTAATAATGGCTTCCTGGAACGACGGAAAAGACGAGTTGGAATCGTCATGGGAATGGCAGGAATGGGGGGGGGGGTTAGAATCAGTGGAAATGGGAATGGACGACAATAGTGATGATGATAATAATGATGATGACGATAAAAAATAATACAGATGATGATGATGATAAGGGAGTGGAAATGACGAAAAACTGTAATAATGGCTTCCTGGAATGACGTAAAAAAAAAAAAAAGGAATTGGCATCATAATAATAATTAATAATTTAGTTTGATTCCATTTGTTACAATGGATACTCTTGGTCTGACACACTGTCTGTTTTACTTTGCTTCTAAATCATCCCGTGTGCGCAAGGAAACCTCACCTCATGTTCCGGCAGGGCGTCGACGCGGATGGGGCCTCCCCCCCCTCCTCCCGTGCCCGGGCCCCACCGCGAGCCGCCTCCCGAGCCCGAGGGGGGTGGGACGAGGGGGGGTTTCTTGAAGGGGGACGTCACGCCGCTGCCTGGGGGTCGCATGCCCACTGTAGAGGGGGGGGGAAGGGGAAGAGAAGGGAGGGGGGAGGGGGAAGAGAAGGGAGGGGGGGAGGAGGGAAAGGAAGGGGAGAGAGAGAGAGGGAGGGGGAAGAGAGGAAGGGGGAGGAAGGGAAGGGAGGAGAGACGGGAGGAAGGGGAGGGAGGGAAGGGGAAGAGAGGGGGAAGAGAAAGGGGGAAGAGAGGGGAGGGAGGAGAGAGGGGGGGAGGGGGAGGGAGGGAGAAAGGGTAAGAGGGAGAGAGAGGGAAAGGAGAGGAAAGTGGGGAGAAAGGGGGGAAGGGAGGGAGAGAAAGGGAGGGAGGGGGGAAGGGGAGGGAGGGGGAGGGGGGAAGGGGAGGGAGGGGGAGGGGGGAGGAGAAAGGGGAATAGGGGAGGAAGGGAGGGAGGGAGGGAGGGAGAAAGGGGGGAGGAGAAAGGAGGGAGAAGAAAGGAGGGGAGAAAGGGAGGAGAATGGGGGGGAAGGGAGGGGAAGAGAAAGAAAATAATTATTATTATTTATCATCAATAACTAGATTTGTAATCTTAGCAAAGTTGTAATCTTCATAAAGTTGTAATTTTAGTAAAGTTATAAATTATAACTAATAATTTATCAATTTAATAAAATTAATTATTAATAATAAAACATACTAATATCACTAACATAATATACTTTATCTATAATAACCGTTCTAAATTTCTAGTGAAATGAAATATATATTTGATACAGCAATTTCTAACATACTTTATCTATAATAACCATTTGAAATTTCTATGTTCTAGTGAAATGAAATGTATATTTAATACAGCAATTTATAATATACTTTATAATAATAAACGTAACATCGAGTATTTGACTTTTAATTTTGATAAATTCCTAATTTCTAAATTCTAATGAAACAGCGGTAATAAAATGACTGATATATATCCTAATTATATGCTAATTACACACGCACACACACACACACAATGCCCTCCCCTACACACACACACAATGAAAAAAAAAAGCAAATGTACACACACACACACACAATGAAAAAAAAAGAAAAAAAAAAAAATACACACACACACACAGACAATGCCCTCCCCTACACACACACATACACATACATACACAATAATAAAAAATAAAAAAAAACACAAAATGAAAAAAATACACACACACACACACACACAATGAAAAAAATGCACACACACACACACACAAAATGAAAAAAATACACACACACGAAAAACAAAACAAAAAAAACACGCATACACACAATAGAAAAAAACAAAACAAACACACACACACACACACAACTCCCTCCCCTCCCCCATCTCCCCCCCCCCCCACTACCTATCACCCCATACCCATATGCTTCGGCTGAGGTGTAGTGGGCGCCGACTGAGGGGGGGCAGGGACGCTGAAGGACCGCAGAGGATTTCCTGAGCGTTTCCCTAGGGTGGAGCTGCCCCCACTTCCCGCTCCGTCGGGGAGAGTCGAGCTGGAAAGAGAGAGAGAGAGGATAAATTGATGAATAGAAAAAGTAGATGAAAAGATGGGAGAGAGAGAGAGAGGATAAATTAATGAATAGAAAAAACTAAATGAATGGATGGAAGAGAGAGAGAGAGAGAGAGAGAGAGAGAGAGAGAGAGAGAGAGAGAGAGAGAGAGAGAGAGAAAGGATGAATTGATGAATAGAAAAAGTAGATGAAAAGATGGAAGAGAGAGAGAGGATAAATTAATGAATAGAAAAACTAAATGAATGGATGAAGAGAGAGAGAGAGAGAGAGAGAGAGGAGAGAGAGAGAGAGAGGAGATGAGAGAGAGAGAGAGTGAGAGAGAGAGAGAGAGAAAGATGAATTGATGAATAGAAAAAGTAGATGAAAAGATGGAAGAGAGAGAGAGAGAGAGGAGAGAGAGGAGAGGAGAGAGACGAGAGAGAGAGAGAGAGTGAGAGGAGAGGAGAGAGAGAGGATGAATTAATAAATAGAAAAAGTAGATGAAAGGATGGAAGAGAGAGAGAGAGAGAGAGAAGAGAGGAGAGAGAGAGAGGAGAAGAGAGAGAGAGAGAGATAGAGAGAGAGAGAGAGAGAGAGAGAGAGGATGAATTAATAAATAGAAAAAGTAGATGAAAGGATGGAAGAGAGAGAGAGAGAGAGAGAGAGAGAGATGAAGAGAGAGAGAGAGAGAGAGAGAGAGAGACAGAAAGCGAGAGAGAGAGAGAGAGAGAGAGAGAGAGAGAGAGAGAGAGAGAGAGAGAGAGAGAGAGAGAGAGAGGATAAATTAATGAATAGAAAAACTAAATGAATGGATGGAAGAGAGAGAGAGAGAGAGAGAGAGAGAGAGAGAGAGAGAGAGAGAGAGAGAGAGGATAAATTAATAAATAGAAAAACTAGATGAAAAGATGGAAGAGAGAGAGAGAGAGAGAGGATAAATCTATGAATACAAAAACTAAATGAAAGGATGGAAGAGAGAGAGAGAGAGAGGATAAATTAATAAATAGGAAAACTAAATGAAAAGAAAAACAGAAAACCCATTTGCTTAACTATACTTTAACTTTAACTATAGTGACTGCACTACAAAAATAAATGTACAAAGAAACAAAAACAAAAACAAAAAAACAAGATTAAAAACAATAAACAAAAAAAAAACAAGACTAGTAAAGCATTAAAAAAAAAAAAAAAAAAAAAAAAATCCTGCATTACACTCCAAATCAACGACAAAGATTAAAATACCAATAATATGAAAAAGAGGCGAAAAAAAGAAAAAACATCCAAACACTTCGTACAAAAAAAAAGAAAAGAAAAGTCATACGTTCAAAAAAGGTTAAAACATCAACAAACTCTACAGAAAACAGCAAAAAAAATTAACAACAACGGAAAAGACAAAATCCTCTCCGTCAGTTTACCTACCAACGGCACGTAATACAGTTACTAATTACCTATACTGACTGCACTTATTACAGTTAATACAAATTACCTGCACTAATCGCAGTTATTACAATTACGAATTACCTGTACAGAATGCATTTAGTACAATTACCTGTACTAACCGCACTTAATGCAATTACAAATTACCTGTACTGACTGCATTTAATCAATTACCTGCATTCAATCACCTGTACTAACTGCAATTAATACTCTCACCTGTACTAACGACTGCAATTAATACAATCACAAATTACATGTACCAACCGCAATTAATACAATACTGAATTGCCTCTACCTACCATAATTAAGACAATTCCCTGTACAGGCCGCAATTATTACAATCACCTACACTAACTGCACTAAATACAATCGCCTATACTAACTGCAATTAATACAATCACCTACACTAACTGCACTAAATACAATCGCCTCTACTAACTGCAATTAATACAATTACCTGTACCAACTGCACTAAATACAATCGCCTATACTAACTGCAATTAATACAGTTACCCATACCAGCTGCACTTAAAACGAATTACCTGTAATGACGTTATTACAATTATGAATTAATACAATCACCTGTACTACCAACCGCACTTAATACAATCACCTGTACTAACCGCTGTCATTACAATTACGAATTACCTGTACAAACCGCAATTAATACAAATCACCTGTACCGATGCACTTAACATAATTACGAACTACGTGTACTACAGACCACAGTTAATACAATTACCTGTACTAACCACCGTCATTACAATTACGAATTACCTGTACTAACTGACGTTATTACAATATTGAAATAATTGTACTAGCAGTTATTACAACCGCAGTACTACCTGTACAGACTGCACTTAACACTATTACAAATTACCTATAATGATTGTATTTAATACAATTACAATTTACCTGTAATAACTGCAGTTATTACGAATTACCTGTACTAACGACCGCAATTAACACAATCATGAATTACCTGTACTACGAATTACTACGAATCACCTGTACTAACGACCGCAATTAACACAGTCGCAAATTACCTGTACTGACCACACCAGCCGCACTTAATACAATTACAAATTACCTCTACAAATCACCTGTACTAACGACCGCAATTAACACAGTCGCAAATTACCTGTACTACCGACTGCACAGAACACATTCACCTGTAATAACGACTGTAATTAATACTCTCACCTGTACTAACGACCGCAATTAACACACTCACAAATTACCTGTACTAACGACCGCAATTAATACTCTCACCTGTATCAACGACTGCAATTAAAACAATCACCTGTATCAACGACAGCAATTAATCCAATTACCTGTACTACCGGCCGCGATTAACACAATCGCAAATTACCTCTACGAATTACTTGTACAAACCGCAATTACTACGAATCACCTGTAATAACGACTAATTAATACTCTCACCTGTACTAACGACCGCAATTAACACAATCACCTGTACCAGCCACTCTTAATTACCTATACGAATTACCTGTACTAACGACCGCAATCAACACAGTCGCAAATTACCTCTACGAATTACCTGTACTAACGACCGCAAGTAACACTCTCACCTGTACTACCAGCCGCAATTACCTGTACCAGCCACACTTAATACAAATTACCTGCACTAACGACCGCAATTAACATAATCGCAAATTACCTGTACCAACCATACTTAATACAAATTACCTGCACTAACGACCGCAATTAACACAGTCGCAAATTACCTGTACCAACCACACTTAATACAAATTACCTGCACTAACGACCGCAATTAACACTCTCACCTGTACTAACGACCGCAATTAATACTCTTACCTGTACTATTGACTGTCATTAATACTCTCACCTGTATCAACGACTGCAATTAATCCAATTACCTGTACTAACGACCGCAATTAATACTCTTACCTGTACTATCGACTGTAATTAATACTCTCACCTGTATCAACGACTGTAATTAATACAAATTACCTGCACTAACGACCGCAATTAACACAATCGCAAATTACCTCTACGAATTACTTGTACAAACCGCAATTAATACTCTCACCTGTATCAACAACTGCAATTAATCCAAATTACCTGCACTAATGACCGCAATTAACACAGTCGCAAATTACCTGTACTGACTGCAGTTACTCCCCAGAGAGGAACCAAGGAGAGGGGGAGGGGGGGGGGAGGGCGGGACCCCCTATGGAGGGACCCCCAAGCATGGCCGCCAGACTGGAAATGAGGAGGAGGAGGATGAGATTGAGGAGGAAGGAAGAGGAGGAAGGAAGAGAGAGAAGAGGAGGAGGAGGAAGGAAGGAGGAAGAGGAGGAAGAGAGGAAGGAGGGAGGGAAGGAAGAGAGAGGATGAGATTGAGGAGGAGGAGGAGGAGGAGGAAGGAGGGAGGGAGGGAGGAAGAGAGAGGAGGAGGAAGGAGGAGAAGAGGAGGGAGGGAAAGGAAGAGGAGGAGGAGGAGATTGTGGAGGAGGAAGGAGGGAAAGGAAGAAAAGGAGGAAGGAGGAAAGAAGGAAGGAAGGAAGAGGAGGAGGAAGAGATAAGAGGAGGATGAGATTGAGGAGAAGGAGGAAGGAAGAAGGAGGAAGAGATAGGAGGAGGAAGGATGAAGAGTAGGAGGAGGAGGAGAAGAGAAGAAGGAGGAAGGAAGGAAGGAAGGAGGGAAGAGAAAGGAGGAGGAGGAGGAAGGAGAGAAAGGGAGGGAGGAAGAAGAGGAGGATGAGATTGAGGAGGAGGAGGAAGGAAGAAGAGGAGGAGGAAGGAGGAAGAGATAGGAGGAGGAAGGAAGGTAGAGAGAGGATATTGAGGAGGAGGAAGGAAGAAAGGAAGGAGAGAAAGAGACAGGAAAGAGAGGAGGAGGATGAGATTGAGGAGGAGGGAGGGAGGGAGGGAGGAAGAAGAAGAGAAGAGAAGGGAGGGAGGAGAGAAGGAAGGAGGGAAGAGGAGAGAGGGAAAGGAAGAAGAGGAGAGAAAGACAGGAGGAGGAAGGAAGGAAAGGAAGAGAGAGGAGAAGGAGGAAGGAGAAGAGGAGGGAGGGAAAGGAAGAAGAGGAGGAGGAGGAGGAAGGAGGGAGAAAAAGAGACAGGCAGAGGAAAAAGAGAAGAGGAGGAGGAGGAAGCGACAGGAGGAGGGGGAAGAGGAGAATGAAGAAGAGAGGATGGAAGGAGGAAGAGGAAGAGGACAGGGAAAAACAAAAACAAAAAAAGAAGAAAAAAACAAGAAAAAGGCAACAACTTAAGAATAAGGACAAAACAATAATGACAATAACAATAGACTTAATAATAATAATAATAATAATAATAATAATAACAATAATAATAATAATAATAGTAATAACAATAACTTCATTAAAAAACATTTAATAATCTAAATCTAATCTACATCAAAACCTTACAAGAAAATTAAAAAAAATTATTAAAACTCATTAACAAAAAAATTGATAAAACAGATTAAATAAAACAAAAATATAAAAAAAACTCACAAAAGAAACAACTTCGTCTAAAAACCTCATAGACGCACCTCACAACCTCACAATCCGAACTAGTTTTCCCTCATAACCTCATAAGAGAAAACATGGCACCTCATAAAAGAAAGCGTTTCATGAGAAATACTAAAACCTCACGAAAAATTACTAAAACCTCATAAAAAAATACTAAAATCTCTTGAAATATTACTAAAACCTTACAAAAAAATGCTAAAACCTCACAAGAAAATACTAAAACCTCACAAAAATATATTAAAACCACAAAAAAACTAAAACCTCCTGAAAATATACTAAAACCTCACGAAAAATATTAGAACCTCACAAAAAATACTGAAACCTCACAAAAAATACTAAAACCTCAAAAAAAAAAAAAAAAAAACTAAAACCTCATGACAATATATTAAAACCACAAAAAAATACCAAATAACAAAACCTCACCAAACAAAATAAAATAAAAATCTAACCTTAAATACTAAACAATGAAAAAATCAATAATAAAACCTCACAAAAAACTAAAAAAAAAAAAAAAAAAAAAAAAACTCACAGAAAAACTAACAAAACCTCACAAAAAATATAAAACCTCCCCTAATTATACAGAATACCTCACAAAAAAAAACTAAAAAACTAACAAAACCTCAAAAAAACTAACAAAACCTCACAAAAAAACTAACAAATCTCATAAAAAACTAACAAAACCTCACAAAAAACTAACAAATCTCCCAAAAACTAACAAAACCTCACAAACAACCCTAACAAAACCTCACAAAAAAACTAACAAATCTCATAAAAAAACTAACAAAACCTCACAAACAACCCTAACAAAAACTCACAAAAAACTAACAAAAATCCAACAAAACCTAAAAAAAAACACTAATAAAACCTCACAAAAAAACTAACAAAAACTAAAAAAAAAAATCTAACAAATAAAACCTCACAAAAAAATACCCTAACAATTAAAAACAAAACCTCACAAAAAAAAAAAAACACACACAAAACCTCACCTGGTAGGGTTGGGGCCGTAGGGATTCTCCGCAGGCGACGAGGTGGAAGCAGGACCCCCACCCCCTACCCCTCCAAGGCCTCCTAGCCCCCCCACCACCCCGACGGACGAGGGGGGGGGGAACTGGGCCAGGGAGTAGCCTCCTCCTCCTCCTCCCCCTCCTCCCCCCCCGGGACGGTGGAGGGAGTGGGGGCCCTCACTGTACACGCTGCTCGACGTGCTGCCGCCCACCACTGCAAGAGGAAGGGGGGGTTTAACGAGTGGTTTAATGAGGTTTACTCATGGTGGTGGTTTAATGAGTGAGTTTAATGGTGGTTCTAGTGGTTTAATGGGGGTTTAATGAGGTTTAATGAGTGCATTGGAGGTTTGGAGAGTAGTTAATGAGGTTTAATGAGTGCATTGGAGGTTTGGAGAGTAGTTTATGAGGTTTATGATGTGCTGCTGCCCACCACTGCAAGAGTAAGGGGGTTTAATGAGGTTTAATGAGTGTGTTGAAGGTTTAGAGTAGTTTATGAGGTTTAACAAGGTTTAATGAGTGTGTTGGAGGTTTACAGAGTAGTTTATGAGGTTTATGACGTGCTGCCGCCCACCACTGCAAGAGGAAGGGGGTTTAATGAGGTTTAATGAGTGCATTGGAGGTTTAGAGAGTAGTTTATGAGGTTTAAGGAGTGCATTGGAGGTTTAGAGTAGTTTATGAGGTTTAAGGAGTGCATTGGAGGTTTAGAGAGTAGTTTATGAGGTTTAAGGAGTGCATTGGAGGTTTAGAGTAGTTTATGAGGTTTAATGAGTGCATTGGAGGTTTAGAGAGTAGTTTATGAGGTTTAAGGAGTGCACTGGAGGTTTAGAGTAGTTTATGAGGTTTAAGGAGTGCATTGGAGGTTTAGAGAGTAGTTTATGAGGTTTAAAGAGTGCATTGGAGGTTTAGAGACTAGTTTATGAGGTTTAAT